GAACGGTTTAGAGTAAGCACAAGAAAAGAAAAGAGGTAGGAGTGATCGTCTAATTCTCGTAAGCGAGGCGCATGGCGCTCGTAAGCGACCATCAACACAGCACTGTCTAATCACTCCGGGGGGGCCATGGTCCTATGCTACCTCCCATAGCGGTACGCCAGCGTGTCGTATGAGAGGCAGTAGGGACCATGACCCCGAAGCCCAAGCCCAACCCAACCACCCAACCATATAGGGCCACAAGCGGCACGCGTGCGACTCGCACGCGGCCCAAGGGCAATGTTAACTCACACCCCACCTAACCACCTAATGGTGCGCGTCAGCTAGTTGGCGCCCTCTTCATCCTCATCGTCGTCGTCCTTCTCAGAGGACGAAACACCAAAGGTCTCATCGCCCCATTCATAGAGCTCGAAATTCCACTAGCTGCTATTAGCACGCGACACGCAAGAGAGAAGCGCACTTACACGTTGACGAAGTGTATCAACGCTAACACGAACCGCCTCGAGGAGCAGGCCCATCTAGACTGCAGGCGATACGCTTACTACTCTAGGGCTACCTAGAGCAGCGTTGGCTGCGCGTGCGCCGCCAATAGCAGAGAGGCTAGGGGCGAGGCGGGCGGCGCGGGCGGCGGCCGTCTACATCTCGCGCGATAGGATGTCGGCGAGGCCCCGGACCTCTATAGGGGCCGGGGCGCCGGGGCCGCCGCGACCGCAGGCCTCATTGGCAGCGAGCAGCTCCTAGGCACGGCGCACATAAGAAGCAGGAACCTCGCATGGTGTTAGCATAGTAATAGCAGCGAGATAGTACTCACAGGAACGCAACCCGTGGCACCACCACGATTGTTGGCAGCGCAGCGGGAGCAGCGCGTGCCACCCGCAGGGGTGTCGCAGACAAGTGGCTGGCCGGGCGCCAGCTTACCGAAGCCCGGGCCGCTGCACAGGCGGCGGAGGCAGCGGCGGCAGGGCAGGCTCAGCGCCTCCTTGCGCGGGTTCTTCTTGGTTTTTTTGGCCGGGCGAGGCGGCGACGGGGAGCGGCGAGCTAGCAGACGGTTAGCATGCTACACGCAGCATGATAGCGACGGCACATACAACGTTTGCCTCCACCAGGGGGGCGACGTCCACCACCGGAGCCACTGGCAATGGCGCCAGGGCCGGGAGCAGGAGGAGCAGCGGGGGCAACAGCAGCGGAAGACACTTAAAGCGGTTAGCACGCGACAAGCATGTACAACGCGTGAGACTCACTGGTGAAGAACTAAAATGGAGCAAGTTGAAAAAATGGAAATTTGGTGGCGCGAATTGACTGCAACACAATGCATTAGCATGAACAGAGCGTATGCAAATAGCAGGCGAAAAGCGCTTACAGAGAAACGGATTGAGTGGTCCGAGGAAAGGAAAGATCGAGGATCGATGGTCGCAACGGAATATTTATGCCATGGGAGAAGTGGGCATACCATTCACTGACATCCTTCACTCGCCATTCAAACGCATGCGACTCACGAGCAGTGAAGACATGCTATTGTCTTCACGCTATTGTCACAGCATGAATGGGCCTATTCATGACATTCACTGCCAACATCATTCACAGCACATACAAAATGGAATAAGGCTGACGTATACGAGGCTGAATGTACAAGGCTACACGGCGAGGCTGGGAAGCAGGATCATCTCGACTAAATACGTCGCCAAGGTGAAGCGCGCACCGACTCGATGAAGCACACTGCCGTGGGCAGTCATGGAAGCACACGCGAGACGGGTGCGACGAGCATACTACTCACAGCTTCTCGGGGACGAGAAGCTTAAAGGGGGGGGCAGTGTTACGGATCCGGCTAAACATCGGAAGAACGGACGCCTGATACATCGAAGAATAATCAGGCCACCAGCTAAGAGATACGACCCAGGGAGTGCATCCTTATTACTAGCACACTCCCCGCATAGAAGGCGCACTCTTCCCTCTCTCACGCTTTGAGTCGTATACAGTATCGATCATATACTAATGGGATGTCTTACATATACGCTTATCGTTAGATTCTGCCTACTTGCCAAGAAATCCCTAACAGTTAACCTATTTAGTTAGCGTTCCACCTAACTTAAACGAGACTACTCCTAAAGCAATTCTAGGGATTACTATTGCGCTAAACGAGCCATTTCCCCCGCATATCACTAGGCGCGCTAAGCTATGCGAGCTTAGGCCTCCTACACCTTACTCCGTAACTCCGACTTTTTTCGCTCGATACTTTAGTACTCTAACTTAGAATACTAACCATTACACTTCATATTCTTTTTCAAACATTTAGAATATCGAGAAACCCCATACTTCATCACATAGATCGAGCGAGAACGATCGCAATTTAAGTAAGATACCATGGCGCGGTAATCAGTGAACTGTACGTTGCGCGACTAACGAAGGCGTTCGAGAGAACGGTCGCGAACACGAGAAAGAAGTTTAGGGACGGTGGACTACGGGCGAGAAGGAGAGAAGAGAGGAGATATCTTTAGACTTAGACGAATTTAAGTTAGGTAGTGTCCCGCTTTTATATCATCGCTAAGACGAACTCTTAGGATAAGAGTCTAACCGAAGGGAGAATAGTGTTAGACATAGCCTTGCGGAAGACCGACTACGAGTCGCACGAGCACGACTCACCACGCTCATTAGACACTTAGAAGGATCCACGGAGGAACAAGGCTAGATTACATGATATGCCCTATTAGCTCTGTTAGCCCTATTGGCCCTGTTAGCACAGAGCGCACAGAGCGCACAGAGCGCATAGAGCGTAAGCATTATATATACACCCTCACTACCCTAGGTAGTTACACTCTCTTCGTAGCTAACTCATATTATCTACTGAACTATATAGTTCTTAGTAACAGGGAACCCTGCTTATACATTGTGTCTTCCCCAACCAGCTCATGCTATTCTAGGATTATTGCTAAGAACCCTAATCTAGTTAGGATTAGTAGGGATCCTTAACAACACTATAGTCTAACTAGGACTAAGTATTTAGCCGAACTTTCTCGTACGTAAGAGACTATATATATATTAGTAGCGTCTCTCACCCGAGTTAGATAGATAATACTTATATATCTTATAGTTAATCTAAACGAGGAAGAAAGAGACGAAGAAGGCTATAGTAAAGGGCTTAAGAACTAAAGTAAAGGCTAAAGTGAATTAAATCTCATTCGCATTACTATAACAATATAAAACGACTATCTCATCTAAATCGAGTGAGAATTTAATTACTTACTATTATTAGTGAATAGCTATTTAACTACTATGTCATTATCTTCGTCATTAATAATTAAGACGGCCTATTCATACGATGAATTAAGGCTATCTTTATACTCATAGCGACTCGAGGGTGAGTCGCTTTTTAGAGGGGGGGTAACTATTACGAGCCCACCGTTACCCCTAAGTACTCTACGCCCTCCACCCGAATCGGGTGAACGATATAGAAAGAAAAGAAAAGAATAAGGTAAAGAACGGTTAAGGCACAAGGCTATCGGTTAACGCTGCCTTACCCTTTTCACGTGACAGAAAGAGGGGAAGCTATAAGAGTCTCCTCTCACCTGAATCGGCTGAGAGAGAACTCTTCCTTTTTCTCAAGCGTTGAGTCGTTGTCAATAGGGCTACGTGAATAGAATAAGGCATTCAGCTACTCCAATTCCTTTGTACCTACTGCGTTGCGTAGGTCCCTGATAGGGTGGCTCGGGACATAGCTGGCAGCGACGGTCTTCCTGGCGCAGGGAGAGTTCTAGTTCCTTCAGGGCCCTGATGTCGGCTTCTGCAACGACAGCTTTGGGTCGACGTTTGAAACCGTTGTAGCACAGGGTTTCGTCGTAAAACCAGAGACTCTGCAATACGTCTAGAAACGAGTACAAAGTCTCGGGGACATCACTCTCTTCAAGACTGGAACGAGGTATCTTCCGTAAGCGACCCCGTAATATGCTCTCACAGATGTCTGTCTCGGCAACTACCGATGGGGGGATTGAGGCCTTTAGAGACTCGGCAATTTGCTTCAATCGTAGACCAAGTCAGCCACAGTGACCATCGTTCGAATGCCATGCACCATGAGCGTTCTGACGACCTCTAGACATGCTGCACAGTCAAGACTCGTCATAAACTGTAGCGACTCAAGGTAGTACGCCCATATGGGAATATTGTAATCTCCATGAATAACGGTGTCTGGGCCGGGGCCGAGTGTTAGAAGGCTGCGCAAGATGTCGTGATGCGGTGGTATCCATATCCTATTATGGCAGGATCTGAGAGCATAATCAAGCAATGGCCTACCCTCTTTCTCTTGGATTGTTGCCGCTGTTAATCGCGCCTTGACATACGACCTCCAGCCAATCTGTATGCCCAGTGAGAGGGCATTTCTATGGTCGTCGGCCCAATTCTCTAATGCTGTCTTAGCAACCGGTAAGGATAACCCCACTTCGGTGTCATCCAGGTTCGTTCAATACGTCCACAATCTTTTCAAGCAGGATAAATGCCGCCTCCTCCCCACCTGGTAACTCTGGCCGTACCACAATTTGTTGAAGAAAAGGTGTCATAGATGTAAGATCAGGGGAGAGTAATTGATGTGGAAGTGCGAACGTCCTCATATTAGTAACCGTATGGTTGCATTGGAACAAGTGAGCGTCGAATGGCCCTCCTGTATGTTGGTGAAGGAGATCTCTTGCAGCACGACCAGCAAAGGGATCCCGTACGGTTCTGTGCAGAAGCTCGATCCGCGTCCCCGGGCGCAGTTTTGTCCCATAAAATGGATGAGGATGGTAATAGGTGCACGAATCAGTCTCCAACAGCCCCCATACTTCTGCTCACCAGCATTCGTTCAAGAGATTCGAGGAATTCTCTGCCCTCTTGTGGACAATCAAAATCGACATCATACAAGCTTTGGTTTGCAGCAAAGCAAAAATCTTCACTCTGTTCCAGAAAATGGAGATGGATTAGGAGAAATTCAAAGCTAGGACAGTCACTACGGAGCAAAGCAGTAACACTGCCCGAGCCTATAGAGTACAAGGCTGTTTGGAGGATGATGGACGCTTCTTTTCTGTATGGTCTTTCAATCGACTCGAAAATGCGTCTGAAATACTCATCCAGATCGAGTGGAATGCTTTAAAGTTCCCTGAAAAGTGCATTGTGCGACCCCCGTCCCTCAGAACTCTCAAAAAAAGACACGGACGACTAAGCGCACCCATAGAAATACCCCTCTTGCCCGCCTCGTAATCTCTCCGGTTATTTTTTGAAGCAGCTGCGGTTCTTTTTTTGTTGGCGCCGAAAGTGTGGATTCTCGCCCAGTTGCTCTGGGCATAGAGGCGTATGTTGTCTTTCGTAAGATCGTCAAGCCGGAGTTGGGGACAATCATGGAACTCATCACGAAAGATGTTGTAGGGTCGGCTTGCCACACAGGCCCTGACGTTCTCGACTTTGGTGAGGGTGTGCAACAGCTCCAGAACCTCCTGGCATTGGTCATCTGAACCATCATGTTCATCAAGACCATCGATAAACAGCAAAACCCGTTTGCTAGTTTCGAGATGTTTTACGACCCTAGACAGGACTTCAATCACTTCCACTTCTTCCCACACAAGTACACGGGGACGTTCGTCCAAGTTCGCCTCCCACCTGCTGGTTGACATCACCTGGTCAACAAGGTCAAGCCGTGGCGAGAGCAGTTGGTATACACGAAGAAAGCCGGATAACGATTTTTCGTCGCTGGTGCCAGCATACCAAAAGCAGAATGAAGCCCTGAGAAATTCAGCGTCGTCCGCTGTTTGGTCCAGAGATCGTAGCTTATCGGCGCGTTCGTCTAGTTCGCGGATCAACGTGCTCTTGGCCGAACCCGGTTTCCCAGATACCCAGTATATAGGGTGTCTGCTGGCATGAAGCCACTCGATGAAATCATCCCACACACCCACATCATCCTCTTTACGTCTGAATATCCATTTATATGTGCCATCGTGGGCTCGGCCTATGACGTTGCGTCTGTTGTTGATTTTTGAATACCGTAGACTTTCGACGATTGGGCGTCGAGCGGCAATTTCGCGTTTTCATTGTGGGCAAAAGCTGGTGCACATCGTCTCATTTAGCTTTGAGCCCATCATTCAGCCGTTCCAGGTTTTTGGAGAGCCCCTTGATCTTTTCTGTCAGATTGATATTGGAGCGTTTTAATGTGTCTTCAACGGCAAGAGATATCGTGGCATCATCAATCTGCGGCGACGAAAAACTGGAGCTAATTTAACAATGTCGTCTCTGATACCCCCAGACTCTGCTGTGGTCTTGAGAGCGTGTTGTGCAATGGCAAGCATTCCCTCGCTCATATTCTTGCGATCGACAGCTGACTGGTCGTGGAGATAAACCATGAGGGAGAGCATTAAGTTTGCCCTGGCATGATCCAGCTTTTGTGACAGGGAGTCGATTTTAGGTTTGTCAATGTAGGTTTTCAATGCAAGTTTGACTGCCATGTCGAGACGGTCAGCAATGGCTTCTTCATTGGCGGCCAAGAAGAGATCGAGGTCGTTTTGATACGTATCTTCGCATGAAGAGGGTTATGGGTGGAGGGGACTCACCACTGCTCCACAAGTTATGGGGCCTATTGAAGCCCCATTTGTCCAGAATCGTAGTAAATTCCTGGGACACACTCAGGCATTCCAGGTTTCAACAATGTAAAGCGCGCGCGGGGCCTGGATGTAGCCGCTGGGAGGCACTGGATTCCATCGACTTCTGGAGATGGGCATTTGAGGCCGATAGACGCTGCACACAATCTTGCAGTGCTCGGAAGTTACTGTTGCCACCGCCGTGCGAGTATTCGATCGTTTTGCGGATAAGGTCGATTCCCAGCTGGACGAATTGAAGGGCGTTGCCCGCCGCGGCGAAGGTTGTAAGAGGTTCCGCCATCTTGACAGTTGGAGCCAACAGTGACGGGAAGCATACTCTGTAGCAGAGAGAGCTGTCCTCTGTACACCGGGCATAATATCAAGGGCAAGTTTTGATGGAACCAGGCTGGTGGAAAGAGCGACTATCGCCAGTTGACGTGTTGAACTTGGCGGGGCGAAGTTGGCAAACTACTGCAGTCCAGGTCCAAGCCACCACTCAGGCTGATGGACGGTGCAAGACGCTGAGGCAGGGAATCTTGAAGACAGGCGCCTCTCAAGGTAGCCGAGACCAGCAGCGAGAAGAGACGAGCCCGTCTGTTGTAAAATGAGCAAGAATGAGAGCCCCGGTTAGGCAAGGCGCATTTCACTTGGGAAGAACAGAAGGGCGGGATAGCCCAACGTTGTCCAGAATGCTTCGATATATAACATACACGTCGGATGGCATCTATGACGGCCAAAGCGACCGGAATCACCTCCACCATTTCTTCCCCCAGCCCCCTTTCCTCGGACCCCAGTCCTTGCGCCTGACATCCTCAATATCATCGACACTCAGATAATCTACACCCTCTCTCACTAGCACTCTCCAGAGGTAGTCTCTCAATCCAATGGGCCAAGGGGGAATACTCCAATAGCGGACTTTTAGACCTCTGGCGTGGGCGGCACGGATCTGCCGTCGAATCTTGTCGAGTTGAGGCTGGGTGAGCGACGAGTGGAATGGGTAGCCGATTGAGCGCCTGAAAGAAGTAGAGGCATAATATGAGTTATAGAGGGAGTAGCTGCTCAACGGATCGGCCGGCGGTTGAGAAAGTGGCTCAGTCGATGGTGATATGTCGTCGACATGGATATTTGATGCCGCTGGTGGCGGGGAGAGAAAAGGAATACCTGGCAAGGAATCCAAGTCGTGCAGGGGAGCATCAAAAAAAATGTCTCTATATGTTGAATTCTCGATGACACGGTTGAAGGGCGCATCGCCAGAGACCACAATAGTCAAGGGTCCGCTAACCACATCGGATCCGTTAAAATAAGTGAGGTACCTCCTGTCGCGGAAGGGTGCGAGCAGGGCATCAACACGGTTCCAGATCTCGTCCGGCTTATTCTTAAAGTCCACCAGAAGAACAAGAGACTGCCTGGGTTTAGTGTCAAAGACGCCAAAGCGTGGTGGATTGATCACGTCGCCCGGACCCAGGAGATCAGGAATCATGTTTTTGTGATCGAGGATCTCTTTCAGGGGATCCAAATATAGAGTGTCTAGCGTTCTGTTTGGTCGTATGCCTGACGTTCTGTGTGCCACGTAGAGCTCGTCGCCGAAAAGCCACACGTCTGCTTCGACGCCCGTGCACCCCACGTGAATCGCGCTGTACAAAGGTTCCCGCCGCCAGTAGTCGTTGTGAGAGTGGCACATGAAAGGCTGCACATCTGCCGTAAGTACATCAAGATTGCTATTCCATGATGCATCCGGTGTATTCGGGGACAAAAAGCTGGCTTTGAGCGGACCGGAGACAAGGTCGAGGTCGTCAGGGAAGAGGGCCTCCAAAATACTGCATATGAAGACTACGCACTGCAGAAGTCCTCTATTCATCCATCAACGTCTGCCTCCGCAAGGTAAAAGGTCAAGAGCAGTCTAGCTTACAGGGTCATCAAGGTAGTCTTGGTCAGAAACCACAACCTAAAAAAAGTTCGAGATCGAAATCGCTGATATTTGTGTCTGCTAGATGTCGTTGGCGCCGAAGCCGACGAACGGGATTTGGTAAGCGCTGAGGAAGTGGCTGTGCGCGACCGATCTGCCAGGCGGCGTGAATGGTATCTTCTGCTCATTCCCTTTGCGTCTGATTCACTTGCGGCCAGTTGGTCATCGTCGTTCTCGTAAGTCCAGGACGGAGGACGCTTTGGCAAGAATGCGCCCAGCTCGACATCGCCCTCTCTGTCTTCACTTTTGGTTTGCCAAAACTTGCCGAGGGGAGAGTGAAAACTCCTCCCTGGTCGCAGGAACCTGTTATCGCGGGTTGCCGCCATATTGCTCTGAGAGACAGCAACAAACAGGAGGTATCATAGCTTCTGCGTCGGGGTTGGCCGTCAGTCAAGAAGTGCTTTGCTTTGAATTGCTCGACATAGTGAGGGCGACGCGGCTATTAGGTCAGTCTCCCAGGCAGCAGCCAAAGCAGGAGAAGTGATATAGACCATTTTGTCTATTACATGTCCAAGGGGATGGATTTGTAGGTGAAGTGGGGATGTAGAACTTCTTTACAAAGCCGACGCCATGGTCGCAGTTTCGGGAAGCCAATCAAGCCCATGGAGTGACGGGCTCGCCAAGAAAGACGCGTCACCGAACGAGGCGCGAGAAGAATGTCAGGTGACCAGAATCCCAATCTCATATTGACTTGTGAGGCTCGCTAGACAAAAGGCCACAGAGACTACCAGGAACACCACCTCAAGACAAGCCAAGCGCTGTACAAGCTCATGTCCCCGTAAAGCTTGCTTTAACTCCCCGTCAAGAAGCGAGTCAAACAGTTCACAGGGCCATCTGAACGCCTTCCCTCATCGTCTCCAGTGTCTTCTTTCCAATCCCCTTCAACTTGGCCAGGTCGTTCCAACTTCGTACGAGCACCTCTCCAGCCCCGTCTTCCCCTTGCTCATTGAGATATTCCACGATTCCCTCCGCACGCTTGGCGCCCAGTCCATTTAGGGTCTTGATCTTCGCGATGTCGCGCGTGTTGATAACGTTGAGGAGGTATTGTGTTCGAGGCGTCACCGCATCATGCAACTCTGATGGGATTTGTTGCGTGAGGGGGTCCAGCGACGATGCTCTTGCTCTGCGTTTCTGCTGCTTGGGCTGTTTCTTCTGGCGTGGGCGATGAGAGGCTTCGTCTTCGTCACTTTCGTGGTAAGCTGATCCCTCGTTATCCTCGTCCTGGTAACTTTCGTCACCGTCATCATTGGTGCGGGACATCTTCGTCTTGTCAGATCCACTCGACACAGTCAGTCTCTCCTCAGGACCCACTACTATCTCGATCGGCTCCCTCATTTTCGCTGCCAATTTCTCTCGCAGCCGCTCAATCTTGCCCTTCAACTTCTCGTTGTCCGGGAAATACGGTCTTGCAAGCTCATACATCTTCAGCGCGCTCCCAAACTCCCCGCGGGCTTGATGCTGCTTGGCCATGAACAGGTAACTCAGCCCTTCTGCCCTCTCGCCATCTTGCCCTTCCAGTCTCTTCTCAATGCTGTCTAGCCGCCGTTGGACTTCTTCAGATATGGACTTTTGTGGCGCTGGGTCGGGAGCGTTTAGAGCACGGGCCGCGAGAATCTCGGAGACCTTTTTCTCAACCAAGGTTTCGATTGAGGATTTATCCATACCCAAAGGTTGACATTCTGGCGCACGCCGGATGAAGCTGGGAGTTGGGCGCGAGATTTTGGGAGGACGACTAGACGGAAGGAATGATACATCAGCTGTGCGCTTCAGCGGAGACGATTTCTGTGGAGCGACTTTCGCACTCATGGATGTCTTGTTGCGGTCCGAGTAGACAGCAAAGGCTTTCGGTGGTTTGTCATTCTTCGTGGCTGTATCACGATTGGCAGCGAGATTCACATTGACTACACTGGTCAGAGGTCGCAGTGGTTGTCGCTGTATGGTCGGACCGCCCACTGGTGCACCAAGCACCTGTCGCGGAGGACCCTTGAAGATGGGTTCGTTCTCCACCTCGCGGACTTCAATCTTCTTGGTCCGGTTGGCAAAGTTCAGAGAGCTGAGCGTGTCGAGGTGATACGCTTTGACAGGCGCGAGGTTGAGAATCATAACTGTGAAGCCATTGTTTTGTCCTAGCGAAAGGATTCTCGTCATCTTCGACTCTCGGTACGGGATACGCTGCTGTTTCTTGCTGATGGCCTCGACGCACTGCGCCAGGACAAACAACGACTTGTTGATGCTGGCAGACTCGACCATTCTGTCCTTTCCATTGCCCGTTCTCCGGTTGTCCTCCGAACCCGCCAAATCAATGGCCGAAGCTGTGCTGATTCTCGTTTCCGTCGGCGTGGTAATGGTCACTTTCACGCAGAGAATGGCATGCGATCGTGATGAATGAGCGTTGAGCTTCGTGGCGCCGGTGCTTCGATTGGCGTTAGCTTTGTCATACAACCCCTCGAAGTCCTTCAACGAGGCGCAAGGCATTTCGGTCAGGCCAACGACAACCGTCTTCCCGCCTTCAGCTTCTCTTATGGGCAGTCCCGTGGCGGTGCGCTTCTCGGGCGCCTCGAAAAGATCGAAGACGCGATCGTTGTAGATCTCATAGTAGCTCATGCACACCTGGACGGTTGTTTCTCCATTGTTGCTCTTTTCAATCGCTCGACTCTTTCGGTAGATACTGCTGAGCAGTCTCGGGATCATCCCTCGGTCGGCTAGTGACTTCCCACCGCGCATTGTATGGGTCTTCCCGGTTCCCGTAGAGCCATAGGCGAAGATGGTGACATCGTATCCGAGGAAGAGATGTTTGACCGTGGGTGCGACTGCGGGGGGAGAGGCAGATGTCAGTTTAGGGATCACCGCGTTTTGGCGATCAGAGAAGACGGCTCACCCTCGGCATCGAAGATCTCTTGCTGTGTGGCATCTTGTTCGTAGACGCTGTTGAACTGGAAACTATACTCTTCGGCAAAGTTCTTGGGGTTGGGGATCTTGACAATGGTCGGCTTCCCATCCGCACCGTTATGGCTCGTCACAATCTGGTCCTTTTCGATCTCCGACTTGAGGAGGGGCCGGATGCGGGCGACGACTCGGACGCTCATCTTGAGCTTTTGCTGTCTTGGTGCTTAATGCTGATTTCCTATGTACTTACCTAGGTTGCGGATGTCAAAGGTCATGTATGGTACGCAGCTGGATTGTAGAGCGGAGTAACTACTTACTGGATGGTTGCCGGGGGCAACACACTCAGCCTCACCAGCCTCACCAGCCTTGCCGGATCCACCATTCCATCATCCCATCGAGCCATACGAGGTGCCTCGTACCTGGTACAATATAGTCAATTGCATATAGCGATTCAAAGAAATTTCATGCTGCTGTGAAAACAAGTTCTTCTGGCAGATGATACGTGCCCGTGACGGGCAAGACGCCCACAACCACTGCGCCATATCTGACGACAGAGAGTTAGCCTCACCAAGGCATATCAGCGCGGACGAGGGATAATGCGCGCAGCAGGAAGGGGTTGAAAAGACACCATCTCAAACCCGAAACTCTTTCATCGACTCTCGCCTTTATGGAAGTTCCGTTTGGCCTCTCTGGCGAATCGAGGGCCATAGTGGAACTTCTTTTTCCAGGTAATTGCTGCCTCCTCATTGTCTCTCCCAACATGTTCCAGCTCCTGCATGAGTGACGAGGGTGAGTTCAACTTCTCATGCATGTACCCGGTACAGGAACAGGCAATACTCCAAATAGCCGAAGCTGCGATGAATACTACGCCGTGAGACTGGGGTAGCCCGCTCTGTGTTTCTCGGTTAGTACCCCAACTCATGTGGGCTCGGCGGCTTACCTGGAGCCACAGGGTACAGGGCAAGTAAACCTTACCAGCTTGCGACCCTACAAGTACGAAGTACTCGGTACTGTACCCTGTACTTAGGCGTCCTTGTAGGCCGGTGGGGATTTTGCTTTCTTTGTGAAACCACCCTTCCCCTTGGCTCTGGTTCGAATTGGGGATTTCACGCCTGAAAAGTGGGAGTACCTATGAAGAAGCCGAAACACTACGTACCCGTGGCTGATCGGACATAAATCTGCGCCTTTTGCTAAGCTCAGTCTCGACAGTTGCGGTGAAGCGTCCAAGGATTAACTGTATCTTTCACGGCTCGAAAGCTCGACCAACTGTTGCGAACAAAAAGAATTGCCCAACATCCAAGTTAACAGACTAGAGTAGCCTGAGACGAGGGGCATATCAATCCGTGCCAGGTGTTTACATACCTACCTACCTATGCTGCTTGCGTCGATGTGGAGCTTCGTCCGCGTCCCGCCGGGAAGCACATGCTAGAGTGGTAGGCTGGATGGATGTTTAGTTAAGAGCTGACCACCGGCACCACTGGCACCGCTGGCATTCGGTACGTGTACTTGTACTTGATGGCCCCGGTCGCCACTGTCTGAAAACAACAAACAACCCTTTCAGTGCCGTCAGAGATCTGGCCGTCGCATGCACTTGTCCTGTGCCGCAAACCGTGAGGATTCCCATATCAAACTTGAATAAAACATTGGCTCACCCTGGCGCCCATCTTCGGCTTTCATCTTTCACCCATCATCACCATGGACAGTTTTCAGGTCTATGAGCCCGGCGGCGACTTGGGCGCCTCGGCTCTGACAAAACGCCAGGCAATCCTCGCCATACCGACCACCTACCAAGGCCTCAACTCGGGACCAAACCCGGGAACTGTTGCTGCTATCGTGCTTGGGTCCGTCGGCGGGTTTTTGCTTATCATATACCTTATCTGGGCGGCAGTCAATTACGGGAACGTGTTCGGTAATAGGAGAGGCGTCGTTGAGGAGGAAGTTATCCGTCGGCACAGGCCACGTAGCAGCAGGCGCGGGACCACGGTTGTGGAGGAAACCATAGAGGTGGATAGGAGAAGCTCAGTACGACGACGGGGAGCATCGTCGGTGCGTGAAGCAGCGGAGGTATGCTTTCGATACAAAACCCCCTTTCGAAGATGCTAACTAACAGCCAAGTAGGAAGCCACGGTTCCAGATTAACCGGCAGCAGGTTGTTCTTGTTTCTATCTTGACGAGGGTTATTCTTCGACGTACAGAAGATGGCGATTTTCTTTCGGGAGGATTATGCTACGGCCATGACCAGCGGACCAACGCCATACTTGACAGAGAGACTCAGATGTGCCTCAGGCGATGGGGAAAGCTCAGACTCAGGGATCTGCATTGTGCTTCTGCATGATGCAGGACCTTCGAGCCAACCATTCGAGAATTGCAAAAGTGCCCGTTCTCACGAGAGACGCTTCAAAGCCAACGCGCTAGATAGAGCACATGGATGAAGCAGGCCGACCACATCATCGGCTTCTCTCAATGTACTGTACGTCCAGTGCATGTGCAGACTACTCGCCTCCTAGAACAACGTTGGCAATGGGGGGTATCCGAGTGAGCGAGAGGGGCAGAAACGTGCTGGAGCACTGGCCACGACTACCATGCAAGGGGGAGACGCGTCGTCAGGGCTGTATGGCCACATGACTATATATTTATGCCTGACGTACTCGATACCGAGTACAGGAATATACATCTTGGGTAATATCTGGAGAGGAGGATGACACCTGCCTACCCTTGTACATGGGTAGGAGATGTTTGTTGACCGAGTGGTGAATCTGTATGTCCCGCCATGCTCCGGTTGCCCTAGCATCACCCACAACAGCCACCTGGCGCCATTTTTACTCCACTACTATTACTCGCTACACTGGCCACACCACATGCATCACCCACCAACAATCAAACACCAACATCGTGCTGCCTCGTCGCGTCGTGGCCGGCTCCCATTGACCAAGCTTGAAACGACGCTTGATGAACCACCACACAAACCACACACCACAGCCACGTCTTCTTTTTGTTTGCGCTCCTGCACCTTCTTGCAGCCCAACTGCGCCATCTGACGCACCGGAATATATGCCTACAAGCACGGTATACTGGAATATTCTTAAGAGAGCGGTCACGGCCCTATGGACGAGTGACGACACCTTCGCCTTTGAAACCACCAGCAGCAATACCAGCACCTACCTTGCACATACCTTGTGCGAATTCCCCGACCGCCAGACTTCTCATCCAGCACCGATCAATTGATAGACCCCCCTACGAGCGCCTTGTCCTGAGCGCTGCGCGGTCCGCGCTCAGCGCCCCTGCACGCCCTCTCCCCCACCTCGCCTGGAAAAGATGGCGACCGAAGTCATTGTGGCTCAATCGCGCCGACGATATATCTGGCCCGAAGTCCAACTGAATCTATGGATATTTATTGTGTTGGCCGGGTCGTCGACTGTGTTGGGCATCAATGCGTGGTTCATCGCCGTGCAGGACCAGTTGAGGATCGGAGTTCCTTGGTATGTTTACTTCTTACACGGGACCCCTCAAATACATGGAAAGAGAACTCTCAAATAACATGTCGGACTTTTTGCGAACAAAAACAGGCTATTTCCCTTCGCCGTCATCTGCGGCTCGCTCACTATCATCTTCCTCATCATCATCCTCATCCTCGCCGCCCGCCGGTTACTCATCCCGGGCATCATCCTCCTGGGCAGCTTTGTCCTCTTCGTGCTGTGGGTGACCACCCTGATAGAGACCGCCATCCAACTGTACGGCGACGGCAACGTCAACAGCAACTGCAGCAACTTTGTGCAGAACCAAGAATACCACGGCGTGTCGATAGAGACGCTGGCCTGGCTCACGCAGAGCAACATCTGCGCGTGCTGGAAGGCCAGTTTTGCGTGGAGCATAATACTGGCCGTGCTGTTTCTGTGGATGATGATACTGAGTTGGCAGGTGCAGAATTATGACTGAGGGAGGAATATGGGAAGGAGATGGGGGACAAAGGAACAGCATTATCCTTTTTTCTTCTGTCTTGAAGAAGCCCCCCCCCCTATTTAATGCGCATGTAATGTGATTTTGACGCGATGTGATGTGATGTGGATTTGGGCATACGGGAAATTGGCATGTTTTGATGCAAATACGGAGTACATGGGGGAGTCTGATTGAGCGTTACGATATAAAAAAACCCCGTACATGGCGCATTGGCCACCATCCCAGGGGATCCTTCTTCTTTCCCTGGGTTTGGAATATGAAGTTCCACCACCAGAGAGGGAAAGCATACAAAGGCAACGTATTGTTATCGTCGTCAAAAATGCTTGCTTCCGGATACTCGTGAGTGGGTTTTGGTTGAGCGCTCGCTGCTCTGCAAGGATTCCCCTTTCCATTGAGACGTTCCTATCCGTCGTCATATCAACATACTATATATACATACCACATTTATATATACGTATGCCGCACTTCCACTATTCTTCTCCCGTGTCTGCCCACCAACACCCAGGAAAAGAGAAACAGGGGGCCGAGCAAGCACGTATATATCCTACATCATTCCTTCATCAACTCCGCGATCCGCGCATTCATGAACTCGGTGTCCTCGGGATTCAAGCCGCCGCCCGCCGTATGGCCCCAAATGCTCTCAATCACCGCCAGTCTCCCATGCTTGAGGTGCCGCATCTCGATCTCCGAGTCCTCGGGGGGGAAGTACTGGTCTGTCCGACACGGCATGAGCAGCGCCTTGGCCTGGATGGATCCCAGGGCCGCGCGGTAGAGGTTGTCGTCGGGGACCTTGCCGCCTAGTTCGCAGCGCACGGCCCCGGCAGCGTCCGAGGAGGGGATAACGGTCCCAATATCCCCCATCTGCCACATGCGCGCCAGCGCGAGCAGGTCCTCGGCATCCCAGCCCAAATACCCTTCCTCGCGCATCTTCATCCACTCCTCCACGCTGCCCGGCCTGCCCTCGAGCGTCGTGAACTGGCGCTCGCGGAACCACGCCGTGCTGGTCAACCAGGCGCCGTACGCGCGGGCAAAGGCCCTGAGCCCCCTTTTGGGAACGACCTCCTTGAGGTTGACGCCGACGTTCTCTCCGCGCGCCATCTTCTCCTTCATGGCCTTCCAGGCGACGTAGTCGATCGAGCTGGTCAGCGCAGCAATGGGACCCTCGAGGAACGCGTAGTTGTGCAGGCTCGTCCGCGCCGCGGAGCAGATGACCACGATTCGCTTCACGAACCCAGGGTACATGACCGCCCAGTGGTACGCCTGCTGGCCGCCCATGGAGAAGCCCACGACCGCTTCCAGCGTGGGGACTTGGAGGTGCTCCGTCACAAGAGCGTGCTGCGCGCGGATCACGTCCTCGTACCGCAACTCGCCCGGCTCCGGGAAGAAGGGCTTGTTCGACGGGCTGGCGCTCTCGCCGTTGCCCAGCATCGCCACCACCACGACGTGGTACTTTGCCAGAGCATCATTCGGAGCAGAGGTAAATGTCAATGTCGTGTTGATGAGCCCAGAGTAGCATGTCGGGATTAGCACAACGCCGGCGGTGGACGACGGGTTGTAGCTTCGATATGCGACGCGCACGTCGTGCAGCGTCGTGCCGCTTGAGAAGGAGAAGTTTTCGATCGTGTAGAACTCGACACCGGTGGCGTCGTAGTTTTGCCCGTTCATGGCTGCTGTGCAGTTACAGGAGGCCTGGGGTTTTGCCGCGCTGTCTTGGATTTGATATCCGTATAGTTTGTGTCGCGGAAAAGATATTCACAGATGAAATAAGTTCTAGACTCCGGATCAACGAGACGATCCAACCCCTCGCTGATATCGACCGATGGTCAAAACCTCCTCAGGTTCACACGGGCATGTGTCGGGTCTGGCACGATTGAGATATGGCATGAGAAGAATCCGATGATGCAACACGACGAAGTCAGCGGCGGGATCGACGCTCTTCTCCGCTTTTGAAGGCCATTGGAACGATGAAGTTGACCAAAGATGGTTCATGATGCGGATAGAAAGCATCTCTGTTAAACCCAACCAACCGAAGAGAGGTCATACCGTCGTAAGCCTGAGGAAGACGCCGAAAAATGCAAAGCCCAACCATGACCGACGCCAACAACATGCAAAGGCTGCAATGCAACACCAATAATCGTCCCGAGAAGCCAATGCATCCATCTCAAACCTCCAAAACACGTCTCGTCGAACGCTGCCTCGATTGTCTGATTCGTATCCAATTCAGCTCTTCACCGAGCAGTTTGGCTTCTCTCCACTGTGCTTCCATCTTGCTCATGCGAATGGCCGCGATTACGGCAAGCACACCGGCACGCAATTTCTGGACCGGTTTCAGCTTGACCTCGTACTTGCGCCTATCAAGGGCCACGCCCATTTCTCCCAATATATGCAGATCGACCCGGTTGCTATCAAATTGGTCAGTATACGGCACAGAAGAACACAAGTAGGCAAGAGCATACCACTCGACCCTCACCGCCTCGCCCTGCTCCAGGAATGCTTTACTCCAAGCAAGATCCTTGCGCAGGCGTTCTTCCCGTTTGCATTTGGCCTTCAACCACATAATCTCTTTGATCAGGCCCTTCATCTCCTTTGCCCGAATCTCGTCTTTGCTTGACTTGCCAGATGTCAGCCGCTCTAGCATATCTTCATACTTGCTCTGTAGCGCCTCGAGCTCGTTTTCCACAGCTTCAGCCTTTTTGTTGGCAAGGCTGCGCTCTTCCCGGAGACGTCGGAGCTGGTGTTTCATCTCACGAGCTTCATCGTCACGAACTGAGAGTCGCATGGACAAGTCATTGGCTTCTTCCTGCTCCTCCCGCAACCGTTTGAGTTGTGCTTTCAAGTCACTAATCTGCCTATCGCGTTTGCGGATGCTCGATGAGAGGTGTTGGGTCTCCCCATCTTTTTCGCGGAGACGATTTAGCTGCTCGCGCAGATCATCAACAAGGTCATTCTGCTCTGCAACCTTCACACTCAATGATTCCACTTCTGCAGTTCGAGATTTGATCTGAGTCTGCAGAGTGATCAGCTGATCCTGGTCGATAGAAGCTCGACGGGCAGCGCGCTTCAAGTCGCGATTTTCCGAGCTGAGAACTTGGATTTCGGCTCGAGTGTCGACGAGTTCTTGTCGAAGCTTTGCCAGTTCTTTCGAGTGTGATGGAGGGGGTGAGAGTGACGGTGATTTGGCTTTGTATTGGGCAAGTTTGGCTTCATGTAGCTCACGTTCGAGTTCATTGACCTGCATCTTCAAGTCTCGGTTGGCTGCTTTCAGGTCTGTTTCTCTTTTTGTGGCCGCTGTTTCATTTTTCCTTGCTTCAACCAAATCGTGTCTGAGGCCTGACACATCTCCGGCTGGTGAAGCCACAATCTTCGACTGATTGTCCAGCATGCCCTCCAAATCTTTGATTCGAATCTCCAATCGAGCAACCTTATTCTTTGCGGAGGCCAATTCGCGGTCTCTGTTCTCTGCATTGAGGAGTTTCTGGTTCCGGAGCGAATCTATCTCCGCGTTCAAGCGATTCTCTTCCTCGCTTGATCGCTCAAGTTCGGCATTGATCTCGTCTTCCAAAGCTTGGTTAGCTTCGTGCAGATTGTCGCGCTCCGTTGTCAAGCGCGCTACATCCTTCTCCAACTTGACTTTGATGCGCTTCAGCTCTCGCTTCTCTTGGTCGATGCCGAATGTGTCGTCGTTGGATTTCGAAGCATTTTGAAGTTTGGTCTCGAGGGCATCGCGTTCGAGCTCGGCACTTTCCAGAGCCATGCGTGCATCTTGCAGTTCACTCCTGAGGCTCGCAAGCTCTGCCTGCAGAGACTGCCTTTCTTGCCGCATCTGTTGAATCTGGGTGTCAGCGTGGGTGGAGTATTTCTGTTGCTGTTTCTCTGCAAACTCGTGCTCTTGCTCAATATCTGCCTGCAGCACCTCGATTTCCTCTTCCAGCTCAGCCACTTTCTCTTTCAGTGCAGCTTGTTCCCGGATCGAGATACGTAGCTCTTCTTTGGCGTTGTTGAGCTCCAGCCGACTTTCGTCCGACGCGGTTCGTTTGTTGGCGAGGTCATGTTGAAGTTCCTCAATTTGCTTGGAAAGGACCTGCTCCTCCTGGTAATGTCGTTGCTTCTCGCTTTCGAGCGCCGCTTGCAGCTTCGTTTCACGGCCATTGATTGTTCCTTGCGCGTCTTGGAGCTTGTCCACAGTGCGTTGAAGCCCATTTGCTTTCTCCTCCGCTTTCCGCGAAGCTGCTTCAAGTGTCCGTCTCTGTGCTTCCCACTCCTCCAGATCAGCTGCATGGTCCCGCTCTTTGGAATGCACTTCACGGTGCAGTCCGTCGATTTGGTCGTTCAAAAGATCGATCTCTTGCTTATGCTGCGATCTCAAGGCGGTTTCATTCTGCGCGGAGTGTTGCCTCTCTACATCGAGAGCGTGTTCGAGGTCTTGAATTGATTTCTGTGCTTTAGAGAGGTCTTTCTGCAGTTCCGCAGATTCCCTGGTCAAGGCATCATGACGTGTTTGCAGGAGATCTTTCTCTTCGACTTTGACTTGCAGTTCTTTCTCGATAGTCTCGAGTTGTTTGGTCATGTTGTTCAGTTTGCGTTCGAAAGTATCACGTTGTTGCTGAGACTGATCGAGGTCTTGCTGCAGCTTTCGAAGGCCTGATCCTCCTTCCCGTTCCACTTCTCGGACTTTCTCACGCAACTGCCGTTCTGAATCCGACTTCTGTGCAAGCTCGACTTGCAAGGCATTATGCCGTTCTTGCAAGTCTTGTAAATCATCTTCAAGCTTGTTTGCCTTCTCTTCAAGCTGTCTGCTCAGTCCTTTAGTGGTAAAGGACTTATTGGCCATTTCGTCACGCAGCTCATCTAGGTCTTCTTCTGCTTTGCGCTTTTCATCAAGAGCCTCTTCCTGGCTTTCCTTTGCCTCTTGTGCTGCTACCTTCGCTTTCTCGAGATCCTGCTTGAGATCTTCAATTTCTTGTCGCGCAGACTCCAGTTCATCCTCGATTTCAGCAACATCATTTGATTCCTTGCTTGCCTTCGCCTTTAGCACATCAATTTGGTCATCTCTCTCATCAAGTTTCCGATCCTTCTCTCGGAGCTCTGCCCGGAGATCATCAATCTCATCTTTCAGCTTCTCGACAATCGTCTTCCCTTGCTCTTTTGCAGAATCTCTCTCGTTTTCTAATGCCTTGATTTGCTTCTCCCTTGCTTTCACCTCCGTTCGGAGAGTCTCAAGCTCGGCCCGGACGCTTTCATCCACCTGTTTTCGTCTGATTCGTTCTTTGAATTCTTCAAGCTGCAACCGGTAGACCTCCGCGTCCTTCTCAGCTTGGGCAATGTTTTTCTTGAACTTGTGTAATTCGCGCTGCATACTGATCTTATTGACCTTTAAGTCGGTATTCTCTTTGAGTGCCGCTTGATTGAATTCGTTGCCTCGCTTTGACAAAGCCTCTTCCAAGAAATGTATCTTCATCTTCAAGCCAAAGTTCTCTTTCTCAATCTTGTCGATAATGCTTTCTTGCTCGCGCAACGTCATCATATTCCCATCATTAACGAGTCCAGCCGTGTCTCGTCCAGGTAGTGGGGCGAGAGGTGTGCTTTGCGCGCTGCTGCTAATCTGCTGAGGCATTGGAGTGTTGTCAATTGCGTTTCCGGCCGAACTGGCGGTGTGTTCGCTCGCAAACTGCGATATATCGCTGAGTCTTGGGACTCCAGGAGTGTTCCCATCTTTCAGGTAGGAAGGAGTCGTTAGAGCACCAGGCTTCTTGTTCGAAAGGCGACGCGCGATGTTCTTCTTTGCGGCACTCTGCATGAGCGGCGTGAACTCGGAGCGAACCTGATTGCCATTTGGGAGCAGGCGCAATGGATCCCGTAGGCCAGCTCGAGGGGTACGGAGGTTGACGCCCTGGCTTTTAGCGTTTCTCATCTGACTGATCAAATCACGATTCTCCGGGGGCGCTGCAAAAGACTTCTCGGGCGAAATCTCCCCAAGGCGATCCAGGCCATTGGTAATGTACGAAGCATCGGTCGCTTGCGGCGTATTGATATAGTTGGCCATGATGGGTGGACTTAGCTCAACGCCCGGTGACTAAGCTGTTCACCTTGAGTCCAAGGAGCATTAATATGAAGCCGAACAACTAACCATACTCTCTTGTTTTCGAAGCGGAGGGTGTTGCTTTCCAGACTCACAGAATCTCGCGGTTGTTGCTTGTTGTTGTTTAGCCGAAAAGGGAATAGTCGGTTCTGCGAAGGCTTGGCGTCTGCAGAATGATCTCATTGATCTCGCAGGGCAAATGATTCTCGACTGTTAATCCACCAAGTCCAAGAGTTGCCATCTACCGAGTACCATACGCAGTCATTTGCAAGCCTCCTGATAAATTTTTACCAGCGAAGGCCGTCCCAGTATGCCTACGACAGAAGAAGACATCGCTTGGTTCCGCTCTACTTTTCATCCCATCCCGAAACCTGCTTTGCCCGACGACTGTATCGAATACTCCCTCTACATAATCTCGCCCTCACTCGATCTAAGCCATGACTCTGAATTGCGACTGCGATTTCGGGAGGTACAAAAATATGCAACAGACCTCCATCGGCTATATTTGAAAGACTATATATGGCAGCGCCAGGGGTTCTCCCTTGAGCTGAATAAAGAGGATGGTGAGGTCTGTACGAAGTTGACAGGGGGAGCTGAGAATAGACTAACAACGAGTTAGGTTTGAGTTTTTTGCGTGGGCAGACGGAATATGGCGACTCCGTGGAAGATGAATGGGTCATAGTCTGGCTCCTGCGGGAGCTGACGAACAAATTCAATGACCTATGGGTCAAAGTAACCGACAGTGACGGCGAGTTCCTCCTCATCGAAGCCTCTGGTACATTGCCATCGTGGCTGGAGCCCGATGTCGCTGAGAACCGTGTCTGGATCCATGATGGGCAGTTGAAAATCATCAAGCCTGCGAACGCTTCGAGAAGCTCGAAACGAACAGAGGAGAAATTGTCTCTTTCGCAAGCCAGGGAAATCATCGTGAATGAGCCAAAGAGGTTGATGCACTCGATAAGCATGGAGGAAGAAGCATTCTTTCGACTTCGAAACTATCCTGCCCAGATCTCAGAGAACATGCATCATGCATTGATCACAATACCCCGGAAACTTGCATATTTGATTCATCACAAGCCAGCCTATATTGCGCCCGCGGTAGAGGCATTCTATCTCAGAGACCCAATCGCACTAAAACCACTACAGAACAAGGAAAACAAGGACAAGGTAGTTTTCGCCCCTGAAGATTTCGTGACAGTCAGCGTCAAATTTCCTCGCGTGGCATATGCGCAAATCAAGTCACAGGAATTCCCGGCACCGGCTGTATTCGTGGACGCGATGCCATCAGGAACGGATCCAAAAGCCTATGTTCGCGCCGAAACGGGGATGAAAGTCACTTGTGGATTTGAAATGCTAGTCTCGGATCCTCAACATCAAGACCGGCCTGCGGTGCGCGAAATGAAGATGCTCCTCGATGACCTGGATTCTGGAGATGAAGTCCTACCCTCTGAAACTGAAATAGCAACATGGGGTCAGCGGGAAGATGATGAGAAGTGGCTTGATATCGGGTTTGACGATCTCGAGAATGAGCTCGGTGGCGGCCAAGGACAAAGCGGAGGCAAAAGCAAGAAAACTGGCTTCGGCGATAAGGCTGCGCAAGAGAATCTCCAGAGAATTGTGAAGCAATTTGAGGAGTTTCTGAACGACGATAAAGCCGGTCCAGACGGCGTGGGATTGTTCGACGAGGGCAGCGATAATGATTTCGATGATGACGGGCTCGATGAAGATGATGAAGATGAGGACGACGAGGGCGAGGACAAAGAGGCCAGTTTCGGTGAAGACGAGTTTAGCAAGATGATGCAGGAAATGATGGGCATGCCGCCAGAGGTGATGAAGGAGATCATGACGGGGAAACTTGGTCCAGGCGCCCAGGACCCGGCCAATCGATCTGCGTTGAGACAGCCCGTAACTGGGACGGGCCAAGTTCGAGATTTGGACACAATGGACGATGATGAAGAGGCAGAAGGTGACGCCGACATGCAAACATTCATGAAACAGATGGAGGCAGAGCTTCGAGCGCATGGCGCCTTGGACCTCGGATCGTCCTCGTCCGCCGGCAAACAGAAAGCGATCAAAAATTACACCCCAAAAGTTGAGAAGCAGAATGCTGACGAAGACGAGGCCTACGAGTTGTCCTCGGACGACGACATCGACAACGAAATCGACGTCAACCTGGCCAGGAATCTATTGGAGAGTCTGAAGGCCCAGGCTGGCAAGGCCGGGCCAGGTGGCAATCTGATGGGAATGATGGGATTGCGGATGCCCAAGGATGAGCTAGATGAGGATGACGACGATGATGATCAGGCTGGACCGAGCGGAACGCGTGGCATGGCAGGCGGGATGTCGAGGATTGAAGAGCTGAAGTAGGAGACCTCCCCATGTGCCGAAAGACTTCAAAAGTCCTATTAATTCAATTAATATCCATTCCTCCCTTGCACAACCCCATACGCACCGCCACCCCGTCCAAACATCTCTCGAACATCACCCACAATATCTTCGGGACGTTCCCACGCCGCGAAATGTCCTAGCCTTTCATGATCCCTCTCAAACACGACGTCGCCGACCGTCCTCGTCCACGAGCTCCGCAGGACGTGAATATCACGTGGAAAATGGCTGATCCCGACCTTCACCCCATTGCTCTGGTATGCTCTGAGTTGGTCTCGGGACAGACGGGTTCCCCAGGAGCCCGAGCGGCCCATCTCGTAGTATATGCGGCAGGAGGATGCGGGGCCAGCGGTGCTGAAGTAGTAGATGCTCAGCCAGGTGCAGATTCCGTCGTCGGCTAAGAGTAGCAAGCTTGTCATTAGCCCATCCTATTATAATCATTGAGCCAGACAACGGGTGGTCTCGTGACGGTCCCGGTGCGATGTCAGAGGATCCGTTCGTCATGGGGATGGGGAATGCTCACTCCAAGGGTACCCATCCGTCCAGTCGTGCAGTTTCTCATAGATCCACGCCAACAAGGCCACAGGGCTATCGGCCAACGCGTAGCCTATTGTCTGTGGCTTCGTGGATTGAAGGAGGTTATAGCCGAAACCTTCTCTGTCGAACCATGCGGTGCGCGAGATACCTTGTTTCTCTCGCTGGGTGAGTCGGTGAAAGAGGGAGGAGATGAAAAGGCATGGGTGCGTGAAGAGAGAAGGTCGCGTGCCTACGTCCATGTTGAAGTGCGTGGCTCTGCAGTGTTGTGGATAGAGGGCCGAGAGGGCGCGAGCAATATGGTAACCCCAGTCGCCTATATACCCAACAGTCAATCTTGTCTGTATTTTCCAACGACCGGGTTTGTAGGCTTAGTGCCATACAGTTGAACTTACCGCCTTGAGTAACATATTGATCATACCCTAGCCTCAGCATCAGCTTATGCAACGTCTCTGCGTACTGCTCAACCGAGAATCCACGCTTCTCCGTGCCTTCTGAGAATCCAAAATTCGGCAGCGACGGCGCGACGACATGAAATGACACTCGACCCTGAGTGTGGCTGGACAGGAGATCAATGATTTTGGTGACCTCCAGGAAGTTCCCCGGCCAGCCATGGACAAAAAGCAGTGGGATCGCCCCCTTGACTGCGCTTTTCTTGTGTAGGAAATGGATCTTCAGGGACTCATAGCCTTCGCACTGGATTGGAGTGATGAAATGAGGCAGCTCGTTGAGCTTTGCCTCAGCTTTTCGCCAGCTGAACTCACGCCGCCAGAATTTTGTGAGTCGCTGGATGTCCGATAAAGGGACACCCATGTCCCATCCTGCAGAGCCAAGTTCATTGGGATATCTGGCGTTGTCAAGCTTGGAGTTGAGCTCTTGGATGCGGGAGTCGGAGATGGAGATCTGGTAAGGCTTTATCCAAGACATCTTGTCCGGGTAGTTTTGCTAACGAGACTTGCTATAACATCAGGATGATTTGGCTTGCAGCGAATTCGACAATACGCATGTCGCTTTGACGCTTTTATAGACGAATCATCGGGCCATCTCTGAGCCTTGTGATCGTCATGCCAACGGCTTCAATTCATCATACCTTACCTTCTATGTCCTTCATCCCATGCAAGAGGCTTGTATTTGGTTCCTGCATACGCACAGGTTAGTCAGAGATGTCGGGAAGGCTGCCGTCTGTAGCATTGCTTCCTGCCTCTGGGTAGATGTGGTAGCCGAGTTGTGTTCTCTGCAACCATGAGCCATCACCAGGAGAGCACCCTGAGCACCCAAGTGGAATGGATTGTCGATCACGCTTTGTCAGCTGGAAGGAGCAATAGACCGACCGCGTATAAAGATCGCCATGGGGAAGCCCCTCGCCAAGTCGGCGTAAAGAGAGAGAGCATTCTACCATGAGTGGGGCATGGCACGAGTGTTCCCCTTCTGCTTGTGCAGGTACAGTTTGTCCTGTTTCGCTTCGCTCAACAATATATACATGGCAAACTTGTCCAAAAAAGCCGCTGATCGGGTAATCGGGCAATCTAGACTCGTATCGCTCGTCATGTCCCCAGACGCCGAGCCGCTGCGACGCTGGAGTTGGCATCTATGGGATAGTCATCACCCCTTGTACCTGTTATTACAGCTCTTCGTTGCTGTTCATCATCTCTAATCATTGCGATATTTCATCGCGGGCTTAGCCCCCGCCACAAAGTCTCTCGAGTCTCTGAAGAGCCTCGACAAGATAGTAGTCGGCATACACCACTCCGACATCGAAGATCTGCTCAGGAGGTCTTTGACTCAAGTTTGGTGTGGCATGCATCAATATAGACTCGAATCCTAGGTCGTGAATCTGGAGATGTCCATTTTTCTCAGTGAACGAGGACGGTTTGGACCGTGCATATGCTAGCGTATTGTATACCAGTTCTTTAGCTCTAAGAAGGTATTTGCTGAGAGCTGACTGGTCTGGCCTTGCTGTCGAAATTAGATAAAGCATGCCACTAGCAGCAATTGTCGCGGCAGAAGTGTCTTTTACAGCAGGTTCCGGCGCATCAAAATCCCAAGGTGGGATCCCGTCCTTCGGCAAACGGCTCAAGAAATACTCGGCCATCTGAATCGATTTCTCTTGGAAGAGCGTAATTCCTGTCCACCGATAGGCAGCAGCGAAGCCATAGATACCCCATGCTTGACCGCGACTCCACGTGCTGTCGTCTGAGATACCTTGCCAGGTTGTACGCTCTAAGATCTGATCGGAGTGAGGATCGCACACAAGTAAATGCCAGACGCTTCCATCTGGTCGGATCTGCTTTTGAGCGACGTTTCGAGCATGCTTAATAGCGGCTTCGGCGAACTCTTGCTTCCCTGTTATTTTGGAGACATGGAACAAGAGTTCGAGATTCATCATGTTGTCTATGATGACCAAGAAAGTTTTGTTGGGATCTTGATATGGTCCCATGCAATCCCAGCTCCTCGTGAAGCCTGTTCGGTCGCTAAAGCGTCCCAGTAGGTTCTCTGCCGCGGCAATCAAGGTAGGTAATGCTGCTTTATTCCCCGTCAGCTCATAGTCTGCACCAAATGTGTTGTTGATCAAAAAGCCAACATCGTGACTACTCTTCTGGGCAGACACTGCAAGCGGAATCGTCCAAGTTCGTGCCAAAGTTTCCAGTTCTGTGGATGGAACCAGCAGTGGATGGTCAAGGGACCAAGAATACCACTGCCACAGGAGGCCAGCAAAGAACCCAGACGTCCATGCCTGCGGGCCTGCTAGGCGGTAGGCGCCAGTGGACGGAGGGACAATGTTTGGAAATTGGGTAATTGTTGGAATGCTACCATGACATGTGCTATATTTGATCGCCACTCCATATGTCTTTACGAAGGCATCTTCGTCCATTCTCGATGGCTTAAATTTCGCATATAACGAAGTTGACGGACGCAAAGGGCGGCGACTTTGGTTGTTGTTAATTCGGGCGGATCAAAAGAACCGCTATAGCATGCAGAATAACCTGCCGTAGCCCAAATAAACCTACCCAACTTCAGTTGATTTCGTCCTTTGTTGCCTAGCAAGATATCTGATGTTCTCTTATAGACACACAATGCCTCTGCCACGGCCTCAGCTTATTTCTCACCGCTGGCCTGGATTAGGGTTGCTCATGACGTCGAGCCAAAAGCGCTGCTCTCTACAACACGAGAACGTGGTTTGAGTTGTTTTCGTCCGCCTTTTAAGACAACCGTTAAAGCGCAAGCTATGTTTTTTCACTCAGCCTCATCCTCGTTCTTCCTTTTTCTTTAGAAAACCCGTGTGCGAGCGAAGATGTCCAGCCAAGTGTTACCCGTAATTTCAGAAAACTTGACTTCCGTTGCCGACTTTACGAAGCTGCCAGCACAGCAACTGTAAGTCTACCGCAAGGTTACCCAGAAAGTGAACGCAGAACATTGTTTAACTCCCTTTACAAGATCTCCCATGAATCGAGCAAGGAAACGCGTCCAAGCTCTCCCACAATGGAAACAGCTTGATGCCAAAATGAAATCAATGTTTGAAACAACTTCACTAGAGGTTGCACTTGCGGTGGTCACCGACCTCGATGTTTGTCACGCCGGCCGAAGCCATTCGAGACGGGCGACAACAGCTTTGAAGCCATTCATCTCATACCTCGGCGAGTACTTTCCGGCAATCGACGCCCTTGCCCAAATGAACACCACCATCCTGTCGCCAATATGGGGTTCGGTTAGAATGATGTGCATTGTTGAGTGCTCGCCTGCTACCTTCCCCTACCGAAAACTGACTCCTTAGTTGCTCCGTAAATTCGCCGACTTCTACGACGAAATTGCTGACATGATCAAGCGCATCACTGACTCCTTGCCACGTATGAGGACATATGCGGAGCTACATCCTGAATCCAAGACGTTGCAAGATGCACTCGCTAATGTCTACGCCGCTATGCTAGAATTCTTTATCACTGTTGCATATTACTTGCAAGATTATAATCCGAAAATCTCCCAGTCCTCAGCTTTGGGGAAACTCAAGGAGAAGTTTTCTAGGTCTGCTTCTCACACGTCCAAGAGTGTCAATGTGGCGTTCAATGCCGAGCTACGGTCCAGTTTGAATCGTATTATCAACAGTATTGTTTACGAGATGTCAAATCTTGAGCTTGAGGCGCGATCGAATCACGAGCTTCAGAGCGCCACCTTTCGCAACTATGCGCTGCACGAACTGGACTTAACTCACAAGGCCAATGTCTCGAGCGACTGGCACAACTTATTCGAATGGCTGAGTGCTGATGACGCGGATTATCGACTTCGCTTAAGCCGTGCTCGCGACCTTCGACATGAAGGCACCTGCAGCTGGATTGATGCTAATCCTGCTATTAGATCCTTTCTTGGACATCAGAAGTCAAGATCGGTCTGGGTCACCGGTAAATTGGGAAGTGGGAAGACCGTAATGATGGCATATCTCGTGGGCAAGATTCAAGCGTCCACACAACATAATAATTACGAAGACAGAATCGCATATTTCTTCTGCGACAATAAAGCTTCTGCAGAATCCGGCTCTACCGCTCTTGCCCTCCACCGCGCATTGATTCAACAGCTGATACACGGGCAAATCCAAAATCAGAGAGTCCTAGATATTGTCATGGGAGCGTTCAACCGCCGTTTTGCCCGACTGGCTACATTGGAAGAGCTTGAAGAGCTCCTCAGCCACCTAATATTGCACTGGACAACCACCTCAGCCTATGTCTATCTATTCGTGGATGCACTTGACGAATCACCTGAATGGCGGGAAATATTACATCAGGTTAATCGTCTTATCAGCGGGTCCTCAGGCTCAGATTACCTCAAAATATGTGTGGCCAGTCGCCCTCAGATCGAGGTTGCAAAGATTCTTTCAGGTGTCCAAAAAATTGTCATGTCTTCCGAGAACATCGATGCAGATATTGCAAAGATAGTGCCGACTTGTGTTAAACAAATCACCGAGCACCACGGCATTTCGGATACAACGACTGAGGCAGCCATCACCAAATCGCTGACTAAAGCTAATAACGGTCTGTTCATCTGGACCCGCATGATGACCGAATTCCTGTTGCAACTACCCAGCCTTTCTGATGTCAGCTCAGTTCTCGATAGCAACCCTGATGGATTAACGGAGCTGTACCTCAACATACTTTCCAATATCGCTGGGAAGCTCAAGAAGCAGCGTCGGAAATTTGAGCTGTCTCGGAAAATATTCACCTGGTTATCTTGCAGTTTGAGGCCATTGAGCGTTAATGGTTTAGAAGAGGCCGTAGCCCTTGACTCCACTGGCGCACAAAGCAACACACGCCTGTTTGAGAAGCTTGTGCCTGAAATATGTGGTCCATTCGTTGAGTTAGCACTTCTTAAGTCCAACGGTGACCCCGAGTCTCTGTGCCTGCAATTCGTTCATCTGAGTGTCAAGGAGTTTTTTCTCACCCAAGGAACATTTTGTGATAGCTCAGCAGAAGTTCCTGCCGACTGTGAGGCCTTCTTCGCCGAGGAGAAAGCAGCGCATTGTTGGGCTGCAGAACGCTGTCTCGACTATTTGTTATCTCAGGGCCGCGGTCTGAAGTTGAAGACACGCACAAACGAGGGTTGGAATCCGAATCGCTTTGGATTCTATGAATACAGCACTTTGAAATGGATATCTCATTTTGTTTCTTCTGGGCAGCTCGGAATCCCTTTGCTGGCAAAGCTGCAGGCTTTCAGGGAGTCACCACAAGCTCTCATTTGGCTGAACCACGCAAGAGCTGTGAGATCACAGAATGAGACCACCAGTGGCAATATACTTCTGTTGCAGTCATATTTAAATGGCTGGTCGGAGAACATCGCTGGAAGCAAGACCGAAAATGGTGGAGGTTCAAGCCAGCATGGCTGGCTCCGAGAATATCTGGTCAATCTCTTACAAAAGATGGCAGAGAATGCGATTTTGGACCACGGAGAACTGAGCTCGCAATACTCCAATGCAACTCACTTACTTGCTGCAGTGCTTGCGTTGCAAGGTCGAAACAATGAGGCGTCGAAGCTGTTCCACCGGTGCAGGATGATCCTCGAGCAGCTCGAACCAAGCAATGAGGAAGTTCAACTTCAGTTGTGGGAAGTCACAGCCTCTCTCATACGCATCTACCGTATCCAAGACCAACTACAGGAAGCCCTTGACCTATACAGTGACCTGAGACATCGATTTCCCGCTCCAAAACTCCACAACAATGAGGAGATTCGAATCTACGAAAATCTGGCGTTGCTACAGAGGAGCCTTGGAGCCTTGTCAGAGTCCGAGTCGACTTACAAGACGGTCTTCAACGCTTGGGCATCACTCCATGGCGGCGAAAGTACTAATACGCTCCGGGCTGTTGACGGACTCGCCGCCGTCCATGACATGCAGGGACGGTTGCACGAAGCCGAGAAATCTTACACCCGAGTGCTTGAAGCATACGGCAAGATACTAGACCCTTCCCACCCAGAATGCCTACGAACTTTACATAACCTCGGATCGGTCTATGAGTACCAATGCCGATTCGAAGAAGCAGAAACGGTTTATCGACAAGCGTGGGAGGGAAGATCTAGACTTATAGGTCCATCCAAGCCACAGACACTCACTACCATGCACAACCTTGCTCTCGTTCTGGAACAGCAGGAGCGCCTGGAAGAAGCAGAAGAAATGTGCAAGGACGTCTTGGAACACCGAACCAAAGTACTAAAAGACCCTCATTCGGATATCGGACGGGCCCAAAACAGTCTCGGTTCTGTCTACATGCGACTTGGCAGATTTGACCTCGCTCAGACCCTATTTGAAGGTGCTCTGGACACCAAGCAAAGGTCGCTACCAGGAAGTCATCCGTCGATAATGGTGACGCAGAATGCAATTGCTTGCCTCGAGATCTATCAGGGTCATTACGCAGAAGCTCTTGAACTTCTCAATCTGGTTTATGAAGCCTGGGTGCAAGTCTTTGGTGCAAATCACCTGTCCGCCTTGTCGATACAACACAACGCTGGAATTGCTTATGCAGGGCTGCGGGAATGGGAAGCGGCGGCAAAAAAATTTAGGATAGCTTGGACGGGAAGATCCGGGGCCCTGGGCCCGAACAACATCCTTACTCTCCGGTCAAAGGTCAATTTGGCTTCTGTAAACGGATGGTATTTGTCACAGTCTGATACAAATGGATCTTGCGACTCTGATCTTCAATTCCAAACAGACAAGCAAGCGGAGCAGCCTTTACTTCTGCTGGAAGAAGCTAATGATCAACACAAGGACGCGACATCGAATCACCTTATCGAGAGAACTACTCGCAACCTTGACAAGGCAATAGTGATGAACAACCTTTTGACACTATACAGGGAAGATGATGGCGCCGATAACGCATCCAAAAGGTCTCATCTCTCAAAAGAGCTGAAGCAGGTCCTCTCCGATATTGCTGGCCAAGATTGTGTGCATGACATCCTCTCGAAAAAGATTTTAGCGTTCGTTTCCAGCAATATCGAAAGAGATACAAGTGGGATAATTTTCGACAATCGGCCGGAAAGGCTACGTGATATCAGATGACCACGCATGGTCGACCTTCGCCAGTGGCCCTTCAGCAGAGTCAACTTTCAAGCCTCTCAATATCGAGCAGACTGGAGACTATTCCACTATGCTCCCTTCTGAAAGTTCACGAGAGCCCCATTCTTCCTGCTTCTATGTCAGTCAAGAACACCCGTCATGGACGAGTCCCGACCCAATGGTTGGGCAGCAAGCCGTCAGATACACTTACTTTGTCCAGAGTCCAAAATGTGTACAGGTTGATTGGTGTTCTCGCCAAATCTGTGAGGCAAGATATCCATAGCTTCCCTGGAGTGAATGACCTTCCACCAAAGTACTGCAAAGTATATGTCCTGCCAAAATGATAGGCTATCTCGGCTAGCACGAGACACGACCTGTGCAGAAATATCAAACCAGGGCTCTAGGGAGGATGTTTGCCCCACGGAAGCTGTGAGGGGCTCGAGCGAAAAACCATACCTCGTTGTTGTGGTTTCTGAGTAAAATGCCCGCAGGCAGAGGTACCACGTCCAGCACGCAACCACAGGCTGAAACAGAGCTTCCAGCATGACGAATGTGAGGTACGGGTAGCGCCTGTGATTCATCGCAACCCAAAATCAGAACTGGCACGATTCCGAAGACCAACTCAAGAAGCCGAAGGACATCAACACATGTGTGAACCGGAGTCGGCACAAGAACCCTGTGTAGTTGCAGCTTACCTCCAAATACTCGGTATACCGAATAAGCACCTGAGGTAACTCCGCCTGGAATTCCTCGTCCATCTTAGCATTTGCTTGCCGAACTTCCGCCAATCTTTGGCGACCGTCGTCTCGATCCTTGCCTCGGAGTCCATTTGAATCCTCGCACGCCAGCCGTGGGAATAGAGCCACCGCGTAATAAATGTGTCGTCGCCAGAATCCAAGGGTTGCTTTCCCCTCCAAAGGTCATGAGTGAACTGTCGAAGGAATGCTTCGTCCTTGAGAACCGAAGCACGATAGGCGGCGGTGCGGCCGGAGAGGCAGGTCACACTACCATCGAGGAATTGGGTGCCGGCTATGCTGAAGTTTCGCTGGCACAGGCGCCAGGCCGCCAGCTCCTCGGCGATGGTACAGGTGACCGAGTTGGGAGGAGACGTGGCCTGACCATAACTAGGTTCAGGTTCAAATGTGCTGTGTGCTTGGGCGTCAACTGTTGGGGGTCGGGCACGCTGTAATGTGCCCACGCCGCCCACACGAGCGTCCTCAAAGCACGCCAGCACACGGCTTAAGAAGCCATGATGGTTGACGTCGCTAGTCGGCCAAAAGACGTCGTCATCGCAGAGTACCACTATCCTGCCACTAGTTTGGGAAATGCCGTGAGCGAGCTGTTTCCTCTTACTGGCGCGCATAGTACTGAAAATATTAACCTGAGGAATGGCAACGGCCTTGACAACTTCTCCGCTTTGCTTCCCGGACTTCCCTGAAACATTTTTTAAAGCATCATCGACAAGGTCTCTGACCTGGCTAAGGTAGGCGTGGGTCGTGACAATGATGATTTCTCGTGGACCATTATCATACCACGTCAACAGCGCATCTTGAAATGTCGACGGATCGGGGTCAATCGTCGGTACAATCACAGATACATCCTGGGAGCTAGTATAAATCGGGTGACCTGACACCGGTACTGGGGTAAGATTCACTGCAGCGAGGTATTTTAATATCGCTTTCACGAAGCGGTATGCTCTAGATCCATGTCGTGAGCAGCGAGGAACAATGATTGGGGCCAGACATTTGCGAGAAGGGGAGATGAACCGACCTCAGCATCAAAATCAGGTGTACGCTTCTCATAGTTCCAGCCTGCTACAACTCTGAAGCATGGCCGCTTAAACCTACCGGGTAATTATTCCTCAGCTCCCGCTGTTCCCATGATGTTCACATTGCGAGGTGGGAAATTCGGCACAAAACTTATATGGTCCCATGCGGCTCGGCGGGAAGTCGGAGCGCGGCAAAACCGGTGTAACCTTGTCTCCCATATTCGATTGGCCAGGGATTTTGTCGTCTTATAGCACGATCTAGGAGATGCGAGGAGTCAACGGACTGCAACATCACATACTCTGACACGGCTGCTTGTTGGAGGGAGTGCGGGATCACATGCTATGCGGCAGGTCCGCCACGAAGAGGCGCAAATTCTTCTCAGCCTTGTTGAGAACCCCGAGATCATGCATACTTTGAACACAGAGGCTCTTCAAGCGTCCGTTGGCGCAGGCCTTGACTCGGAACCCCGGCCTTCTTTGTGTATGTTTACACCTGGCAGACGCCAGAATTGTCAAGGGACGATAGAGAGCGAGACAGGACAGATGAATGCTTGAATCAATGCACTGTTGAATACCTATATTACTCGCGAAACAAAAAATCCCATTGCCATATTTGGTTTGATCCTGGGGAATGAGCGAAGGCCGCTTTAACCTGAGCTTGAACTTGAGCCATTAGCTGAACACGGCTGAGGGCCCCCTGAGCACTCCCTGAGCAAACACATCGTTGGCCTAAATCCGGCTCCCGTAGCGATCGGCTACACCCGCTTCCACTAGATATGTATCTGCGCCACCTTGCTCTCAACATTATCCACCGCACAGCCGTAGATAGGTAAATCTTCACCATAACAGAACTCTCTGCCAGAGAGCATTCCACAACAATTGGCATCTCATAACCTAGATTTTGGAGTTGCGGAAGTCAGCCGAATAATGTACCGTGTGCTCCTGTTCGGACGTATACTCGGTGGATCGGGGTTATAAATTCGAAACAAGCCCCGTTATCAACATCGCATTATTCAGGATTTGGCAATTCAGCAAGTTCATGCTGGCGTCTCACGTTTTCTTTTGTCCTCTTCTTTTATCCTGTCAAGGTTACAAAGCATTTCCCCCTGAATAGCACCAAGGCTCTATGATAATCCAAAGCCCCTTTCATACGTAATAGGAACCCCTCTAATAAGTCAAACAATTAGGCAATCATTATTGCTGGGTCTTCGTTATACTCGCAGTTCCGTCTGGTACTCAATCTCAACCCTCCTAACTTCATACATCATTCTCTCCAGCCTATTCCGGAAATCAACAGACAAATGCCCCCACCGAGGCAGATCCCGCCTGAAACATGTCTTGTAATCGAGGGGTCAATCCATGAATAACCACTCGGGCTGGGTGGCCATATCTTCCGTTCCACTCCTTGTTGTTCCTTTGCCGTGTCATCCTTGTCATCTCCAGACCCGTCAGAGTTTTGATCAGAATATGCTCCAAGAACAGCATGGACTGGTTCACCAAGATACCAGTGTGTCCAATTGCTTATACCATGTTGCTTGTTTCCTTTGTTGTACCATAGCGCACTGTTGGCCCATAGGGGCTCGGTACCCCAGGCGTCCGAGTGAGCTATATGTAATGTACAAGAGCTGCGCTCTGGGGGAGGGCTTCCCGTGTGATTAAACACGTTCTGCGGTTCTTTCAGCGGTTCAGGGTGCTGCTTCTTCCATTCATCGTCGTCATCGAGAAATAATTGAATCCCAATTTCCTGCGACTGACACATCCGTGCCGCGTACCAAGTCTCAAAGGAGTAAGGTACGCCCATTAACTCGGTGGACAGCCAGTACGACTCCTTGTCACCGTGCCAGATCTTGAACGTTGACGTGTTTCGCACTTCCTTGGTATTCATCCAGCACGTAAATATCACAGCCATATATAGTCCAATTCTAGACTTATTGATACAAACGACGGCGGCATCGACTTCTTCGCTGGAATAACGTCGATTGAAGAAGGAGCTCTCATTCAAGCAGGCGGAAGGGTATCGGCCGGCTGCTTCAGCTGGCGTCCGAGCCAGTCATGTCGGTCGGGTTCCGAATTGATATTTCTATCGTGGAAGAACAGTGCTCCTGTATCCCGTAGACTCGGGTACTCATCGAACAATTTATCCGGGTTTGAGAAGAAGACAGCGTCGGCGTCCATTAGAATCGTTCGTGGATAGGGACTAGCTAGCAGCGCAAACGGTTTGATCGCGTATCCTTCCAGGTGAACGAGATGCTGATCGAAGATATTCGCAAGGTCGATAAAAATGATATCATTACCCTGTTTCATTAAGAACTCCCGAGTCTGTGGCTTGAGATCCGCATCTCCAACGTAGGCAATAGCTATTGGTAGCTGGTACCTGTGGACATTCCGAAGAAAGCCGATCAGATGTACGGCTTCATTAGCAAATGAATCCATGACGCCCACGACAATCCCCGTGCTTGGCTCGGTTGACTTCATACTGGAAAGGATTTTCGACCTCCATGATTGCGACTTCTTCCAAGGATAGTATTCCAACGTTGACGGGTCCCACCAGGGAAACAGGTCCGAAACGAAGTCGCTGACTTCGTGGACATTCAGGGAGGGATTCTCGAGATAGTGCTCCGTAGGTCGGACAGAGCAGCTACTTTTATACTCATGAGGCCATGATCCTCGATGCTTATATTACGCGCGAAGGTTTCCCCCAGAGAGTAGTGTTTCGTTAGTGTCGTGCGTTGTACCTGAGCCTGTTCCCTGGTATAAAGGTGAAAGAATGGGATATAGAGGGTCTGAAAGATGAAGGCGGCAAGGAGAGGCGGGGTTCCTCGGGAGAACAGCTCCGAGGAAAGACATAGAGTAGCATTGAGAGATGGAATTCGCACCGCAGAATGGCTATAATATGGAACTGATATACCCTTTTCATACAGAGATATGACAGAGAGAAAGGAGAACTGAAGAGTGTGAAGAAGGCAAGTACTTACAGAGGCGCCCCGGGGTTTCTGCTTTCTATTCGAAGAAGACTGCGCATAGTACTTCGTATGAGCGCAGTTTCAAGTGACAGTATCTGCACTCTAGTGGAAGTTACTTCCGCATCTTTTTTCATGGCCACCGCTAACCTCCTTCCACTGCCACCATACCACACCCTGCTCATGAGGAGGGGGTGAGTTGTGGCGCAATAGGACATTGAGCCAAAGTCGAGCTAGGATGAGCCAACCCTGTACCAGGGGGAGATCTTCTGCCTTCGTATTACAGGGAGGGAGACCCATGTTGTAGATAAGAGGGGGATTGGAAAGAGTGGGAAAGAACGTCGGGGGTACAGGGACGGTGAATCCGCCTGAAGGCCCAAAAAACAATGACAACCTTTTTAAGTATGCATTAACGGACAATCATAGTCTGGCGCTGGAGCACAAGTCATTGTCGAGCAGAGAAGAGGAGGGTCGTGGGTGAGTTAAAGGTGAGAGGTGAATTGATCCTTCGAGGTGGGTTTGGAGATGAAGGATGTCTATAAGCGGGCGCAGGTCGGCCGAGGGTCGATTTATGTCGCCTTTCCCGCCAAGCGAAGGTAAAGTTTGCCCCTAAAGCTCGCCTGGCTCAACAAGGCGAGCAGGATAATTCGACATCACTCGCTCCTCTTTTGGGACGAGGGTGACGCCGCCCTGTACCTGGCATTCACCCTGGCTTACGCGAGTTGGCTCGCTGGGTGATCAATCAACCCGGTGTCTCATTGTCTTGGTGGTAGGCACATTGGCGTGGCCCGCAGGGACTCATGCTGATTCTATGTACTGTACAGTACATAGCTTAGCCTAATTCGCGGAGATTTAGATAGTCATTGAGGCCGCCACCGTGGCTAGGAGTCGAGCAGTGAGTAAAGCGGCGATGGAGGACAAGGCTTTTTCGGGCGATACTACTGTACCTTGTACTAACAAGTACGTACCTAGCGAGCTACTTATGGACTACCAAAGTAGGGTATCTAACCGTTGCTCTTAGTGCATGTCCGCTCGGAAGACTTTCCCCGAGGTGGAGGGGCTGCTAAATGAGTGACGCCTGACTGCGGCTCACTAGGCTTCAATTTGCACCAACTCGCAGTTGCTCAACTCTCAACACGATGAGAGCTACCACCACTTTTCTGTATCGCGCAATCTTGCGTCTTTGTCCGTTGATTCTAAGCGAGTGGGGTTACTTCGCTGGAGTGTCAGTCCAGCATTCGAAGACCATTAAGCCCGGTTAGGTGATTCTCAACATACCCCACATGGACCGTCACCCCTCCGAGGCAGGTGGTTGTTGAAGTTGCACACATGTCGGCTCTCAGGGTGAGCATGGGCTCACTACACCCCCCTCGAAGTGTCCAGCAGATTACCAAAGCTGCTCAGGACTACGAATATGACGCCCAAATTCCTCTGCGATACTGGCTCCGGTCTGCTCAAGCCATGTTGAAAGAGGTCGGTGGCTCCTGTAGCACAACTGAGAGGGCAGCGCTGACCTTTTCCCACAGGCAGAGGTCTATGTCCGAGAAGGCGATGAAGAGACAACGTATCTTCTCCTCTTCCGACATGCCCACCTTATCCTTTCTCAGTTGCCGGCCCACCCGCAAGCTAGGGAGAGAGCCAACAAACTGCTGTTAAAAGAGGCGGAGAAAGAAGTCAACGAGAATTTCAAGGTCCTGGATTTGCTAAAGCCCCGAATCAATGAGCGATATGAGCGTTACGTCAAGGTGATCAAAGAGAGGGAGGCAAGGCGGAGTGCACAAGCGCAGAACCATTACGCCAGTGACCCTCCAAGTCCGCGGCCGACTCAGGTTCAAAGAGCCCAGCAACTCCAAGCACACGAAAACAAAGAGCTGGCTGTCAGACTTTTGCAGAAGGAAATCTCTAGGAGGGCTGCGAGTCGACAGGCTGCGCTGACGTCTGGGAACGAGGCAGATGATTTGTCACGGAGGCTACAGGAGATTCGAGCCCGAGTAGAAGGGAGGTCCAGCTCCTTCTCTCAGGGCTCAGTCACCCGGCCGCCGGCACCCATGGGCAGCAACGTGACATATCAGTATCCGACCATCCCTGTGCATCATATTCAGCCGATGCTGAGTTCTCCAAGACCTCACGTATTATCTACCGACGTCCAGAGAGATATTCCAGTTCCACCTCCAGCTTTACCTCCAAAATCCAGTAGCAGTGTAGGTGCGCTCCCACCTCGTCCAGAGAAAGTGACGGAGCAACCTGCGGCAAGGTCACAGACACCTGAACCAACGCATATTTTTGCTCCTGCCGCATATCTGGAAAACGGCACGCCATTACGAACTGTGTTCCTACCACCGACATTGCGGACAACCTTTCTGCGACTCGCGCACAAAAACACGTTAGCCAATCTGGAAACCTGCGGATTCCTAGGCGGCACGCTCATCGCCAACGCCTTCTTCATCAGCAGACTCATTATTCCCGCGCAAACGGCCACCTCGGATACGTGTGAGATGACAAATGAATCACAGCTCTTCGACTATGTGGATTCGGAGGACCTTATGATTCTTGGTTGGATACATACCCATCCGACCCAGACGTGTTTTATGAGTAGCCGAGACCTGCATACCCATGCGGGATACCAGATGATGCTGGCGGAGAGCGTGGCAATAGTGTGTGCTCCTAGCAAGGGAGACACGACCCACGGTGGCGACTGGGGAGTGTATCGGTTGACAGACCCTCCTGGGAAGAAGGCCATTCTCAGCTGCGAGCAGCCCGGAATCTTCCATCCGCACAGTGTCGAAAATATCTACACTGACGCGCTCCGACCGGGACACGTCGTCGAGGCTAAAGGGATGGAGTTTGAGGTGGTGGATCTTCGAGATAAGTGATGACGCCTTGAGACCTGATTGCGGGAAGCAGGCTCACGGCATTGGTCCAAAACCAATGTATTTGCCATGAGCTTTTGGACTCAAGCACTGACCAGGGGTCGCGATCAATGACTGCACGAGCATGGTGCCGAGACTGAGTTGCTCTTTTTTTGGCCTCATCTTGGTCATTACTGCGCGTTGTATGTATATTTCCAGAGACGAGTTAATGATTTATGTGGTATGGCACCCTTGAGTACGAGGTCGACGTGCGTGCGTACTTGCCTACGGGTCCTGGCTAGTAGTTTCTCGGTACTAAGTATTAGTTCTATCTAACTCCAGATATGTTCCAGAAATATCAACTCGATTTCCAGCCGTGGCGTATGGCTTGACAAGGTATCACCGGAGACTACACCCGGCCAAGTCAGATTCTGCCTTGCACATGTCCTTAATTTTTTTTTTTCCCTTTTGCAAAGAACTGTTGTGCAAGCTTCGAGCATGGGTACATATGTGAATGCACTTATCAAGCGAAATCAAGCCGCGGACAAGCCACAAAACGCCCCCGCGCCACTGCTCAGATCATGCCAGAAGTGGCGCGCACACCTTCGCCTCAGAACACCGTTGGCCCTGGTACCCAGCTGGCTGCCTCCAATCGGATAAACAACAGGACCGCGATACGACGCGGCCTCTTGCCAGCTTCCCTTGCTGCAGAAGAAATGTGAAGCAGTCGCGGCGTCTCGTCGTGCCCCTACCTACCTAGGCCCAAGCCATCAAAGTGCCATGCCGAACGCCCCTCTGCGATTTCAAACTGGGGCCTCCGTCAGCCCCAGTTGCGGGTGAGCAAATCACGGCAGACGTAGCTCGCAAGGCCACGCACACCAATGCAGGAACATGCAAGAATGCTTCCTGGTGCCTCGGCAGGAGACTAAAGCCAGTCGAGAAGTGAATAAACACTGTTCGGGTTTCTCTTCAAGGGGGCTTGCTGGGTCGAGGACGGGTAGTAAGAAGAGCAATACTGCTGGAATAACTCTTCATAATTTCTTGTATCGGATTAATTGGCCTGGATCAAGATGGAATTAAGCATCAGGACTCCAGTCCACCTGATAGAGAACTGATATGAAGATTCGAAGTTGCTGATGCTAGGAAAGTCAGATAACGTGGGCGAAAGTGGCTGTCAAGTGCCTCGAAGTGGATTGGACAGGAGGCCGATGGTACCTGGCTAAGCTGTGCAGCACCCCCGTCTAAAGGGGCTATCAATGGGTTCGGGGGAGTCCCCATGCCTAAACCAAGCCCAAACCATACCTAAACCGTGGCTAGGCGTTTGACAGCCAATTTCCGAGGGGAGCCATTTTTTGCTGCCGCTGTTTCTTCCCTTCGGCAAGCACCGTGTCTGCCCAAGCTTGTCCCAATGCACCCCTGCCAATGCCCTTGCGTGCTACTGCAGGTCCCTTTGCCATCTTGCTCAATATTGCCTAGAGAACCAATTGAAACATTAACCCCTGCTCCCCTAGTCACGACCTGGTGCCACTCAGCGAGCCGGCATCTCCTCTTACCCTGGTCGTGCAGTCGTGGTGGTTCCTGTGCCTCGTAAGGCACCCGCGTTTGTCAGTCGCTGGCTGGTGCTCCTTCGACCTCGTTTCCCCTTCTTCCAAGTCTTGTGACTCTT